GAGAATTGACCATCAGATTGTGCAAAGAGGATGCCACTGGTAATAGTTTTTGATGGAGTGATAGGGACCAGCAAACTTACCTCTTGTCTGTATTCCTATGATAATTTCTTAGTGGTCTCTTGGCTTTCTTCTTTGCCTCCCTACAGTTTATTCTCAACACACCCAGCATGGTGACTTTTTAAAATATATAGATCGTGTCACTCCCTTGCTCAAGTAGCTCCCCATTTAATGCTAATAAAAGTCACGGACTTTACGGTGGTTTCACAAAGCTCTATACAAATCTAGCACTTAGATTTTACTCTGATTTCTCCTATTCCTCCTACTAATTTCTCATTCAGTTCTAGCAACTAGCCTTCTAATACTCTTTGAAAATGCCAGGGGCCATGTTACTGGTTCGGGACCCCAATACCGTCTGTTCTCTGAAGCATGTGCCACAGGTATCCCTATACTGGCCAGCTCCCTCATCTCCTTCAGATCTTTGCTGCTATTCAGAGACTCTGTCAATGTAGCCTGGCATTTTTGACCTCCCGCCTACTCTGTTTTTCTCCTTCGCACTTACGACCTTTTTGCATTCTGACTAATATACAGATTTTTATTTTTATCAATTTTGTATTATCCTCCATTTGAGTGTCAACTTCACGAAGGCAGGAGTTTTTGTCTTTTTTACTGATACATCCTAAGTGTTTAGAGTAGTGCCTAACACATGGTAAGTGATCAATAAATATTGCCTGAGATGACAAATGTGAAGTAAGCTAGTCTTTTCAGAAGCCACTAACTATTGGATCCCTTGCCAAGGAGGGAAGTACTATTTTGTAGGAATTAGATGATATTAACTCAGCCTAATAATTAGCTTCTTGCCTCTCTGATGATTTGTTCAATTTTTCCTGAGGCTTTATACGCTTAGGGGAAGCTCAATAAGTAATTGTTGTCTACTGTGTTGGGAACACTGTAGCAGGCATCTGTGATTCATAGGCCTTCTCTAGAAAGAGATGTTACAAGTATATCAATAGCTGTAACAAAGTGTGACTAGGTTTGTTGTAAGGAATAATTACGTTACTTAAATTGGGAAGTGTTTTTTTTTTATGTTGAGGAAGATTCACCCTAACCTAACATCCATTGCCAATCTTCCTCTTTTTACTTGAGGAAGATTCACCCTTAGCTAACGTCCATGCCAGTCTTCCTCTATGTTGTATGTGGGTTGCCACCACTGCATGGCTGCTGGTGAGTGGTGTAGGTCTGTGCCGGGGAACTGATCCCAGGCCGCTGAAGTGGAGTGCACTGAACTTAACCACTAGGCCACAGGGCTGACCCCTTAAACTGGGAGTTTTTGATGATCAATCCAATGCAGACACATGCAGACACACAGTATCACCGCAGAGAGGCATATGGAATTAAAGGGCTGTTGTACTCACAGGTCCTAGAGAGGGAGGCAAGGCAAGCCATGTGGGAGCCGTGTGGGAGGAATGTCCAGGGAGCAGACTCAACCAAACTGGGGGGAGCTGGAGCAAGAGCGAGGACCTATGTGCAAGTGCCTTATTGGAGGTCAGGGTGGGGTGCACAAGCAAATGGGAGAGAGGATTTCACTGTTGTGTTTAAATGTCTCGAAGTCACAGTCCGAAGAGGGCAAGAAGGGGAACTTGTGGCAGGGACTAGCCTTATCATCCTGATACACGTAGGTTGGGTGCTCACAGGCTGTTTGTGGGGATGTTAAGTGATCAGGAAAATATAAAGTTTTAAATATTTGCAGTACACTGGGTGGTATTAGAAATAAAAGCACAGGACTTTGGATCCACATAGAAAAGGCCCCCTGGCAGTCTGTAAATGGTCTATTTCAGATTGAACACTCCTGTCCCAGAGGCATTATTGTCCTAAAGGCATAAATCTAGCCTTGTAAAACCTCTGTAAATAGGCAGCAGTGGTCTCTGTCTCCTTGCTTCTATCTCCGTGAGTCTCAGATGTCCTACTTACAGCCAGAGCTGGAGAACTGCAGAGCGGTCCCGGGCTGCCTCGTCCCCTCCCCACCTGCAGCTGGCATTGATCCTGTAATGTTTTTAATCAGTCTTGCTAAATACTTCCTGGAGGGAAAATGAGTCGTGATGAGAAGTAATCTTGCTGCTGCTTTATTCTGAAAAATTCAGTGACTGATTTACAGATACTGCGTATTCATCATGATCTCCCACTGTAGAAGACGGGGATTAAATTTCAGCCTTAAAGGTTATGGGATCCCTCAAGGCTTAGAGTATAGTAATGAAGAATTGAGAACCTAAAAAAAGGGATTCCGCAATCTGCATCATGAATAAACTATTTTATCATCAGGCCCTGCTTCTGATATGAATTTAGGATTATGTAGATAGGAATATGCCATGCGCTTTTTACTAGAGCCTTAGAATTTTCTCTGCTTTATATTTCACATATAACTTCTTTTAATGTCTTTCTCTTCAGTTTAAAGCAAGTTCTCTTTGTGTTTTTCTGAGGTCCTATGTAATTTCTTGGCCTTTCCCCACTGGTCTAGACTGGCTTTACCAATAAGGCCTCCTCAGCATGCTTAGAAGCCACGTTCTTGACTTGACACCCAAACAGAAGCATGCAAGTTACCCATTTCCTCTGAAATTTAGCAGATGTCCCTGTCTTCCCCTATGTATTCAGAGGAATACATGTTACCGAGGGTGCACGGTCTTCCTGGGCCCCCAAATCTGCTTCTTAGAGTTCTTGACAGATCTTCCAAGATAGTATTAGGTCCTATAGAGATGGGTGGTGTGCCTGTCTTAAAATAATATAGCTTTGACTTGAAGCATCTTGTCCAAAGAAAAAATTCCCGTTCTCCCTACTCTCTGATAAGGTCAGAAATAGGAAACTCATTCAAACTTTTAGGTTCTTCTCTGTAGTTTACTTTTTGTGTTTTTATGGAACCCCACTCTGATTTGTATAATCCCACAGTTTGGCATTAATTTATTTCTTAGGCTGGCGAGTCCTTTCTTGCGATGTCTTCCCTTATTCATTCATCAAACACTTGAGTGTCCTGTATGTGTTAGACACTATGCAGGGTACAGGGCTGTAACCAGTGAACCCGAGAAACACAGCCTTAGGCCTCATGGAGCTTATTCCACTTACTGTTCCTCTAGGAACTAAACAGGTTAAATTGATACTTGCGTAACAATTCTTCTAAAATCATGTTTTCTTCATGGACTAAACGTTATCTAAGCTTTTTTAGTGTACTACTTTAAAACCAAAATACCAAATATTCCTTATTTTTAAACAATTTCTTTTCTTTTTTTTTTTGTTGCTAAGGAAGATTTGCCCTGAGCTAACATCTGTTGCCAGTCTTCCTCTTTTTTTTTTTTTTCAATTTGGCTTGAGGAAGATTAACCCTGAGCTAACATGTATACCAATCTTCCTCTATTTTTTTGTACATGGGACACTGCCACAGCATTGCTAGTTAGTGGAGTAGGTCCGCACCTGGGATCCAAACCCAAGAACACGACCGCCGAAGTGGAGTGCACAGAACTTTAACTGCCACAGGGTCAGGGCCAGCAATTTCTATTTAATTCTAGATAGAATGATTACTACTGCTAATTTTTATTTTACGGAAGATTTTCTTACAGTATTTTAATTAAGCTCTCAGTCCTCCTCCTTTCATCATCAGGATGGCGGCTTTGACTATGCTGATACACTGTAAGATTGAGCCGACCAGCACGAGGAGAGCAGGAGGCAAGAGAAGAGGCAGTGCCTCTTTCTCCCTTTGCCTCAGGACCATGAGCTACTACTTTATGTGGGAGGAGACTGTTCCTCCAGCCCTTTCACCTCCCTGCAACCCTTCTTTACCCCTTGTCTTATGAGTAAGGAATGCATTACAGTCATTTTATACATAAGCTTCCTGGAACTATATATTCAACAACAGGGAACATTTAAATAAACTATACTATAGTCGTAGGAAATGCTCTCTTTAAAGTGTTAAGTGAAAAGAGTAACATACCAAACTGCATATAATAACAATGTATGACATTAAAATGTAATATATTTTATTAATAATATATAATTATATAATATGTAACATTAATATAATATATGCTATTATCCTATATATAATAAAAATATTCATAGTAATGTAAATGTAATAAAAATAAGTAGAAGAGTATCTAACATTTTTTAAGCAGTCACTATGTTATGGAACATGTTCTAAATGCTTTACACTTATTAAATCGTGTCAATACCTCGCTTAATCCTCTTGGCAACCCTGGCTATTATTATCTGATTTTTACATGTGAAAATAAAAATGAGTTTCAGTAAAAAGACAGTCCGAGTCCTAAAGATTCTTGCATTCTAGTGGGATGGCTAACCTGTAAAACAGGCTCAGTCTTGTGTGCTGTGTATCATGAAGGAGGTGCCCACGGGTATGCTATGGGGGTGGATGGGAGAGGCACCAACTGTGAAGTCGGGGAAGATTTCAAACGGGAGGAACACATAAACAGAGTTTTACAGGTGAATAGGCAGATGGAAAAAACCTAAAATTTGTACCTGAAAGAGTTGTTTTTTTTTTTTTTTTTTTGAGGAAGATTAGCCCTGAGCTAACTACTGCCAATCCTCCTCTTTTTGCTGAGGTAGACTGGCCCTGAGCTAGCATCTGTGCCCATCTTCCTCGATTTTATGCAGGGGATGCCTACCACAGTGTGGGTTTTGCCAAGCAGTGCCATGTCCGCACCCAGGATCCAAACCAGCAAACCCCAGGCCACTGAGAAGTGGAACATGCGAACTTAATTGCTGCGCCACACGGCCAGCCCCCTGAAAGAGTTGTTCTTGAAAGCTGACTCTGCCACTTGCCAATATGTGACCTGGAAGACGTAACTTAATTCCTTCATCTGAACAACAGAAATGATGTCTACCATTTCTTTATGGCTTATCAAGTGAAGTATAGTATTGAAAGTTCTATTTGGGGGTTTGATGCTGTTTAATTATTTAAAATTCTTTAAATATGTGACTCAGTTTTACTTTGCCTTTCTTAGGTAGATGTGATCGTGACATTGGGAGGACTTGCTGGGCGTTTTGACCAGATCATGGCGTCTGTGAGCACCCTGTTCCAGGTGACTCGCATCACTCCTTTGCCAATTATAATAATGCAAGAGGAATCTCTCATCTACCTGCTCCAGCCGGTAAGTGAGGAATAAAGATAAAGCTTCTAACACTTGAGTAGACTAGGAGAACACATCAGCTCAGTTTGTGTCTGAACTATGATTGAAGTTGACCATGTTTGCTGACTTGTGGTGACTTTAGTCTGCAGCCTCAGGTCACTGAAGAGGAAAAACGTAGAGGAGAAGCCTCAAAGTTTTCATTTTATTGCACCCAGAAAAAAAAGTCTTATAACGTTTAATTAAATTGACTAAGAATTCAAGTTAGCACTTTTGCATTTTGAGCAGCTGAATATGAATGCCACTTAAGAAAAATGTCAACAGAGGAAACACAAAGCTTGGCAAATATTTTAAATGGTATTCTCATATATTTTCATTCTTGTCACAGTTGGAAACTGGATTTGATTTTGTTAAGCACTTAAAAGAAAATCTTTACCTTTTACTGTTCGTAAGTTGCCTGCTTATTAATTTCACTGCCCCAGAATAAATTTCTAATCATGGTGTCGTTCATCTCCAATGGTAAACATCGAGGAAATTCTCTATCAATATAGTGCTTAGAACGGAATTCTTATTAAGTAAACAAGTTTTCTAAGGTTGATTGGTAGATTTCAGCTTGAAAAATAATCATTTGGTAATATTTTTGAAAACAGTGGACAGTTTTTTTCTTTTGTACCTCTCATTGTAATGGACTACTTACAGTGTAGCTTGTGCCCCATCTGCTAGCCACCGTCTGTAGCATGTCATTACCTACATTGTTGTTTGCTTAATACAGTGGGTGTAATGCATGCTCACCATTGTTCAGCCAGTTTTGCATTTTTTCTGCCTCTTTGCGTTGCCTGTCTTTGTTGCTTTCTGGAACACTTCCTATGAGATGTGGAAGGTGGGGGCCGAAGAATTTGGTTTTCAAACTCCATACTGTCCATTTATTTAGTCAACAAACAGTTACGGAATGTCTGCTACCTGTTGCACTACCGGGCAGTTGAAGATTAAAAAAATAGTAATATATGATCTTTGCTCTTCAGTACATGTCCAGTAAAGGAGTCATTTATAAAAACATAAACATAAAGCAATGTTAAAAGGCTAGCACAGAAAGATGGTGAAAAGATTATGTAATTTGGTAACAAGTGTGGTAAAAAAAGGCTTCCAGAGGCACTCATTAATTCAGCAAATATTTATTGAGTACCTGCCATATGCCAGGCACGTTTTCAGGAATACAGCAACCAACAAAACCGACAAAAACCCCTTGCTTTCATGGAATATACATTCTATTGAGCTTACATTTCAGCAGAATCTTTAAGGATGAGTAGATGTTGGCTGTGGGAGGTGATGGGAAGTCATTCAAGCCAGAAAGAGCCGCTAAAGAAAGATGGAGTGCAGGGTATGTTGTAGGATCCGCAGGTGATTCTGTGCAGCAGTGTGGACAAATGCCAGAAAGTCTAGGAAACTAGTTAGGATCTGCTTGAGAAGAGCTTTGAAATCTACGCAATGGAGTGCAAACTTTTTTTGCCATAGGTGGGAAGTCATGAAAAGATTTCAGTTAGTGGTGTGATGTGCACAGACATGCTTTTTGGATTTCTGATTACAGGTTTGTTAAATACCTAATTTCTCAACAACTTCTGAAGTTTGAAACTTTCTACCATTGTGAAGCATTGAGCTTCATTGTGTGTATTGAATTGATAGTATGATAGCTAAAGTAGTTAGTGTTAACTTGTCTCTGTGCAGATATTCTGGTTAATAGATTACTACTCAAAGACGCAGTAAAATAATTTTTAAAAACTAAAACTGGAAGATTGACAGAAAAAAACACATCTAAAAAATGACTTCTAGTCTTAAGATTTTTCCATTGTTTTTGGTGTTCTCTACCTTTCTATAATGTGTATAATTGTTGACTTCCTAAAAGGTATTCAGCTTAGGGTTCACTGGATTTCTTCCATCTACAGATGGCTGTCTGTCATCAGTTTGGAAACCTCTCAGCCATTATATTTTCAAATATTTCTGCCTTATTCTCTTTCTCCCTTCTTCTGCAACTCCAGTTAAAAGTATATAAGATCCTCTAATTGTATCATGTATGTCTCAAAACTTCTCTTCCATATTTTCTATGTCTTAATCTCTCTGGGCTGCTTTCAGAAGTCCTTCAGCACCTCTGTAATCTACTTCTCTTCCACTTCTCCTGTGTCTGTTTTTCTGCTAAACCTATCCAGTGAGTTTTTAAGTCCTACCAAGTTTTTCTTTCTTATATGCTTGTCCTTTACTCACATTTTCAAGTCTTTCTTAAAATATAATTGTTGTACTTACTTTACAGTCTATAATAATTCTAATATCTTCAGTCTTTATAGGTCACTCATCTTTTATGTTCACTTCTGCTTGTAACCTTGATTCCTTCTGTGTTTTGTGATTTGGGGCTATGACCTCATATTTCTGGGAACTTTGCCTGTGGGAATTATCTGACGTGTGGGTTATAAGTGAGTCTGAGGAGAATTTCAGGTGGACTCCTTGCCCAGTTATTTGTAGGTGTTAAACACTTAGGACATTTCGTTTGAGACTGTTTTGGACCATCTAGGCAGTGTGAGTCCTGATGCTAATCCTGCTGGGAGTCTGAATCCTGGTTACCAATGCTCAGGGGAGACTTGTTCTCTTGTCACCTCCGGAGTGCCAAGGTTTCCCAGGGGTCCAGTGGGAGTGTTATATTATTCACCTTGGCACTGAGAGTCTCTGCCTTATGTGGTGCCATCTCCTTTTCCACTCTCGCCTTGAGTAGGCCTGGGGCTGTATCTCCTGAGGACCTTCCATCCTTGGAGGCCTTAGAAGCCAAAGCTCAGGTTCATCGGATTTGGTAAACACCAAATATTTAAAAGATGAAAGTTATATTTGGTATTCTTTTTCAATCAAAACTTAGTTTTTGGCATCTGAGTATTCTTTAAAAAACAAAACAAAACAGATGTTTTTAAATTTTAAACAATTCCTTTTAATTCTTTCCTAGCATTTTTTATTGTTTTCAATTGTTCAAGGTTCTACTCTACCATACTGTTTCTATAAGTCAGGTTCTACCCTGTCTATGTTGCAGTTACAATTAACCCCCCAATCTCAGGTGCTTAAATGAGATTAGGTTTTTTTTTTCTCATTAATGGAAAATCTGGCGTGGTTTGGGCATCATCCTCCATTTTATTTCTACACTAATGGGAACATGTTGCAGCAGCAGGGGAAAAAGCATGCTAGAAAATGGCACCACATGTTTTAAAAGGCCAAGCCCAGCCGTGATTTGTGTCACCTTCCACGGGAACACAGTTACATGGCCCCAGCTCCACTGCAAGGTGATCTAGGAAAGGAAGGCGCTGGCCCAGGGAGAGGAAACACTGTGTGAGCTCAGAAGGTTGTTTCTGTCAAACTGGCAGAGAAAGTTGAGAAAGTCTCGAATCATGACCCTACATCATTTCTAAGAACATGATTATCTAATTTTTTTTCATTTGTGGGATATATCAAACTTTAGTTAGTTAAAGCAGAATCCCCAGTTCTGCAAACATGGTGATCATATGAAGTGTACTTGCATAGCCTGCATCCCCCAACACAATGCCCTCTAGATTCTCTCTCTGATAATTTTGATGTGTTGCATTGAAACAATTAGAAAATTACCTTACCCTAAGAAAGTAATTACTACAGAGTATGGAGCGGAAAGCTCCTGCAAGACCATACCCTCTGGCATGTAGAAGAGTGACAGTGTTTAGCACAGACTTGCGCCTGTGGGGTCAGCAGTGCTAGCTTTGCTCCTTTTTGCCACTCAATTCTAGAGAAATCTTCCCAGAGACACATCCTAAGTCCCTGCTTTTCAAACATTTTTAGTGAGAGAATAGTAAGACAATTAATAATACAAATGCAAAAGTCAAAATGAGTATGTTTGAGGATTTAAGATGTGAACCAACCTCATAGAGGCTACCATGTTTTTAAGCAGTTTTAAGTGTGCACTTATGAAATGCGATTAACACTAAAAATCAATTAAGATCTATACAAAAGTTATTGCATAGAAGCATTCTACTTCCTAGAAATGAGACTTACATCATTGGAGCTGAACTGGCTCTGCCAGGTGTATTGTCCTGTAACTGTGTGTTATATGTTATACAGCTACTAGAGTGTGCATATGTATTAAGTACAGTACATAGTCTGGGAGGATAGTCAGAAAGGATGTCTACAGATACTCTTCATTGTTAATAGGACTTATTGTAATCACAGTCAGGATGGACAGAAAAACACCATAAATTTAAATTGAAACCATTATTGTGGAAGTAGACTCAAGACAATCAATCTGGTATGCCTCAGCGCCAAATAAAGAATGGTTGAAAAATGTTTTAATCTATTTTTTAATTGCAAGTCAACAAATAGCTGTTCTCAAGAAGGAAAATAATTTGGGGGATTTTATAAGAAGCATCTCATTTGAGCTTCATAAGAACACTGTGAAGAAAGCAGGACGGATCATACAGTCACACAATAAAGTCACACTTTTCCACTACACTACATTTCCTTTTTCATGAGGTAAATAGACTAACGTGCAAATGACAAACTTTTAAAACATGTCATAGTCCGTAGGCTGGTAATTCTTCACAAACAATGTATAGCTCAATGGCCAGTTGTTGTGCGTATAAGTGCGTATGTATATAAATACAGTCGTGTGTCACTTAACAATGGGAATACTTTCTGAGAAGTGAGTTGTTAGGTGATTTTGTCATTGTGCAAACATCATAGAGTGTACTTGCACAAACCTAGATGGTATAGCCTACTACATACCTAGGCTATATGGTACTGATCTGATAGGACCACCATTGTATATGCAGTCCATCATTGACCAGAACATTGTTATGTGGCATATGACTGTATATATATATATATACACCTGTATATATATATATATATATATATATTTATATATATTCTTCACAACATTATTTTCAAATAAGATAAATCTTGAATACATTTTAAGGATATATTCTACCTTGTTGCTGTCCCTCTAAATTAAACAACAGTGATTCTCTGAA